ATAATTGCAACAAATCTTGTACAAAGTATGTCAAGTAAGGTGTCTATGGAAAGGTTATGATTTGCTGAATATGATTTTGCTATTTGTATACATGTATCATTTTCGTATTTGAAGTTATGAGTATTGGCTCTATACCTGTATTTCAAATGCTTGCTTCTGTGTAGCACCCACAAGGTATTTAGCCAGCACATTTGTAAGGAACTATTCAAGTGAATGGCCCATTAAAGAACTTTTAACTCACAATGGAAGACGCCCATCTACAGTTAATAGACTTTTCTGCTGTGACTAAGCAAAATCATGCATGGACATGTGATCTGCCCATGTGACTCCAAACACCATCTTGATACCTGTAATTTTCCACTAGCTGTGCTGAGGGCTTTGTTTGAAATAATGGATTTCCCTCCACATGGCAGAAGCTATAAAAGACCCTGGAAACATCTCCATTTTGCACCTTTCCTGCTCAAACCTCTGGACTATGAATTTACACTAATGGGAGCATCCTAACTCAGGGACTGAGGACCTTCCAATAATTTGGAAGCAACCAGAGACTTGATTTAAGCCAGCAGTTTATTCCATCACTGCAACAAGCCTGATACAATAAATGCAAAGTTTTTGGATGTACTTGATTCCTTTAATCAATTTTAACTCTCACCTTTCTTTCTTTTTATAAATAAACCTTTAGATTTTAGATACTAAAGGATTGGCCACAGCATGATTATTGGATAAGATCTGAGTTGTATATTGACCTAGGTATGTGGCTGTTCCTTTAGGATCAGAAGAACCTTTTATTTATTTTCAGAATGGTAGTTAACCTACACTTACTACGGATTGTTCTCACGGTGGCTGGACCACACAGAGCCACTACCTCCTGAGATGAAAGACTCACATCTCTTAGCCAATGACTGTAGCAAACTCAAACTTCTGTGTGAGCCAACCACTAGAAGGGGACAGAAAGCCAGGCTGAGTGAGCACATGTTACAGTAGGAGGGCAGAAGTACCAATATGTAGCTGCTATGGTCAACCCACGCTTCCCTTGCTATGCACACTGGAGCTCAAAGCCAAAAAGTTGCCTGAACATGTTGGTGTTGGAAAGATTTATCAGGGAAATAACATTGTGGGATAACAATGGTCCCAAATAAAACTAAAAAGACAAACAGCAAAGGTGAGACTTCAGCAAATGAACAAAACTTAACAGGTAAACGATCAAACCCCATGCATGTATAAAGTCAACAAAAACAAACATGCATGTATAATATCGGTGTTGATGCACTGCATTTAGCCATTTATGTTTTAAATCAATCATCATAAACCGAGTTGAAGTGAAACTCCACAGCCTAGCCGCCTTAAACTCTGAGACACATTGTTACTGGCCCCTATAATCTCTAAAAAGGGCAAAATCAAATATCTGAACACCTTCAAATTTTGAGAAAGGTTGGATCCAGATGACAATTTTGCCATTGGCTTCACTGGGAATTAGATAAAGTCCCAAATTCTTTCATTACCCTGTTAGCCGGTTACCCTGTTAGTATCTATAGCCTTTGCTAGATAACATCAAATGCTAAGCCTAGGTACGGTGAGAAGGAATAGGTACATTGGGTAAGGAAGAAACTTCATACTCTGGGAACAACTAATCATATGTAAGAATCTCTATGATAAAATTGTATTCAATTTCCCATAGGGCAAAATTGTGGTGCAGTACACATTGGCCTGAAGACAAGGCAATGCAGAGCCACAACACTCCTCCAGGTGGAACAAATCCCAGTCTAATGTACTAAGAATTCTCAAGCTGCACTAGTCCTCCCCAAGAGAACGTGCTCCTGGCCCCATTCCTCAGCTCTGTTGAGGCACTGTGCGACTCTGGGTGCTCACCAAGCACAGGAACCTCAACTGAGAAAAGGGGTGGGTGTATGCACGCGCGTGTGTGTTTTCCTTGCAGGGGTATGATGCTGCATGCTGTGCAGGAGCATTTCTGCATTTGGAGCAAAAGGCAAATCACATAGGCCCAGGGATATTTATTTGATTCAGCCACCTCCAATAATTGAAACTGCTCTTCCACATCATCTTTTTGCCTGGTGCAATTAAAATCCACAATGATGCTACATCTCTTTAGTGAAATCATCATCTCCGGTGCATCCTAGAAATGAAAGAGCACTCCTGGTACAAAGGTATACATGCTGTATTGATGTGAGTGACACACTAAGCCATGTAGCCGGTTGATTAAATAAATCCTTCTTCAAATACAAACAGTTGCAGGAGGAAATGACAGATGTATATTTTCTTCTGGGACTTACACAACCATCTGGGTTCGTGATTTTCAGATGGAAGTTTCACAGCGAGTTCTCACTTTGAGGTTTTAAGGTATTCCAGAGATCTGTATTTTCTTTTTCAGATTTGTGAGCTAAAGTATCCCCAGAATTGAAAATTATTGCTGACTAATGAAAATTGCATTTATTAGATAGTAAGATGTGTATTATATAACCAAAACATTCCCTTAATAAATTCATTCTATTAAAAGCTGTTGCATGATTAACGAAAAGAAGCCCTTCAAAGCAGTGTGGAGAACATCAGACTTCAACCGCTCACAGCAAAACTATAATGAGGTAATTAAGCCATAAAATTGTTTTCAGTCCTGCTTTTGAATTTAGTAGCTATATTTAACTTTATGCCATAAGGCAATCTCTCAAACTTGCTTTTCTGCTGTTTCAGAACAACTTGTTTGAAATCCTTATTGTAAAGCCGGACAAGGACAAATATACTAGTACTAAGGACATCAAAAAGCTCTAAAAACACAAGTTACAATATAAGAAATGACAGAAGCTCAGAGATACATAACACCAAGCAAAACAGACAAAACAAGACTGGTATTGTAACAAAAAAAAAAAGGTTAAAATCTCTGGGGAGCATACCTGCTCCCAACTCAAACAGTTAAAAAAAGCCATGATTTCTCATCTTTACACTTGTATCAGTTTTCCTCTGCTCTCCAGTCTCTGGACCACTCCACAGAGCCTTCCATTAGGTCTTTCATAACCCGTGATCTTCCTCATCACTGAGAGAGCAGGCTCCCTCTTAAAGGAAGCCCCACCCTTGGGGTATCATCATGGGATGCCTGGTCACCTGATCCATGAGCGCAAGCCCAAGGGAGATGGATAACTAGACGCAGGTGAGACTAAGTCAACTCCCCCTAAACGGCCTGCCCACTATGTGACAGTGACTTTTGCACTCCATGGTCCTGGGGTTAGATGGGGGCTCTTTTTGTCACTGATGTAAATTAGAGCAGCCTGTGGCTTAACTGGACAATATATGCCCCCAGAGGAGCCATTCCGTTGGTCCATGATTGTAGTGAACTCTGTCCATAGCTTCCCACCCCAGACCATCCCTTGTGCTGAGGGACTAGAAGCAACAGGTGTAGAGCCAGGTAGGGCACTTGTATATCACCTGGATCTGTCCTTATGCAATGGGATCCTTAGCTGGCAGCTTAAGTCAGCTTTAGCCCCATTTTCTTTGCCTTGTAATGTAGTAAAGCCACCATTTAAAAAAAAAATCATATGAGAGTCTCCCACTAAGGATTGGGTTCCTTCATTTACTGTAAACTCAGAACACTGTACTCAGCTTGAGTACCCAAGCCATACACTGGAAATCTCTGGGAATGGAGGGAAAAGAATCCCTCTCCCACACCGTGGGTATGAGAATCCCTCCCCCACTCCATGGACAGAACCACTAGCTCCAACCCAGCTTCTTTCATGTCCCCAAAGCCACTGAACGGAGACCCCTGCATGGTTCTGCTGGAACAGGCCTCTTCTAGGCAGCAGAGAACAGGACAGGATTTGGCCCACATTTACCAGTGCACTGAGCATACTATTTGCTTTGTGAAGTTCATGACTCCCTCCAAATACTACTGCTATGAGGACGACCTGAGCTCCAAAGGCAACAGGTTCCTCTCTTTTCCCATTGCCCTACAGAACTTTTGAGCACATGAGCTTTTGGTGGTCCCCAATTGTCACTGCTTTTTACTGCCCTTTGGAGCTTAAGAACTATTCACAGGGATCCTTTCTTTTGCCCTGCATAGACTTTATAAAGCATCATCCAGCGTTATAGACCTTAAACAGCTCCCTGTCAAGCCCTGCTACCTTTATCAAGTGAGCTTTCACTATACCAATCAGTATGTCGACTTAGTAGCCTCATATTCAGAGTAATGACCTGTAACTCAAAAACCAGCTTGACTAATTTTCTTCTTGCTTAGCAGAAAAACACAGTAGGGAGTCATCCTGCAATGAAATCCATTGTAACAAACCATTACTAGACATAACACACAAACCTGAGACTAGAACTGGGTCTTTTATCTCCAAAGACTATAGCTTCAATCACCTGAGCTACAGGAAAACCTTTTCTAGTCTCTCTAAACTGCCACCAATGGACAAATTGCTCATACAATATTATACACACATTACAGTTAGTGACAGTCATTAATACCCTTGCTTAATTATAAACAATTTTCTTCAAATATAGCCAATGCATCTGTTCTCAAGGAGATTTAACTATGTGGATGGTTTGAAGACATAGCAACAATTCACTTTTTGCTAACAGGACACAAAAATTAGATACAAGTCAAAACATCAAATCAAAATACGTAATGACCTGTAAATCAGAATCAGTTTGAGCAATTTCCCACAAACTTAGTACGAAAATTCTCCTTAATCTTCAGAGTAATTTTTAGCAATTAATTAGTATTATTAGTGGTCAACAGTGCCTTTTCAGGAGAAAAAAAATAAAGTTATTTCTATGCATGAATAGTTTAATTTTACTGTGTACAATAATCTCTGTATCCAAACTGAAATCATTCTTTCAAAAATTGTTTTCTTTTCTTCTTTTTATTGAAGAGCCTGCCACTATAAATACTATGAGAACCAAAAAAATGAAAAGCACAGTTTTGGCAAATAAAAATTATCTGAGAGTTAATATTAGTAGCAGTTTTTCCATCTGCTACTCTGTTTATTACTGACCTTCACAGCAGTCCTGCCACAATCTCAAATCAATCTTTGGTATCTCACTGCAGCTCATGTATCCCTGAGGGTAGTCTGCCTTTAAGAAGACATCAGGCTGGACCTGCTGGATGTTGTCCCCATTGTCACAGAGTACACGTGCCAAAGAGGCCTGCTTCAGCTGAGTGAGTTGCGCTGTTGTAAACACTCCAGGATTTTCATACCAAAACCTAGTCAAAAAGATACGGCATCAGGGATCTGTGCCTGAGAATTAACAGCATGTCAAACAGTGATAATGAGCAGACAGAGACTGCACCATATGGAAGGGATCACATTTGTTCTCCAGTTAAATTTACTTTAATGGCTTTCATGTTTTATCAAATTCTTAAATGTTATGATCTTGAACTGTTACCTGGAGTATGTCTACAACACTGCGACTGGAGGTGTGACTGCAGCATGAACAGACATATGGAGCTAGCTTTGATCTGGCTAGCTCGAACAACAGCAGCAGCAAGGCCCTGGCCACCCGGGCAGCAACACAGGCTGTACAGCTCCACCTGGGACCCAGGGTATACACTCAACTGGCCAGCCAGTGCTGCCGCAGCAGCTTCACCGCTACCGCTATTCCAGCTAACTGGATGAAAGGTATGTCTCCATATACTGCAGTGTAGATGTAGATTGCAGTGTAGATGTACCCAGAGTATAGAGGTTGGGCATAGATGATGATGAAGCATGTTACCAAACTGGAGTTCCCAGCATTTCCTGTATCCTAAATAAATGCTTCAAATCGTGCAGCATTCTAAAATTTTATCATTTTTTAAATAATTGAAAATATCAAGATACCAACCCCCCCCCCCAACACCACCCCAACCAAACAGCAGCATATAAGTGACAAGAATCATGCCTGCTCCAAATTAGTCTTGTGATAGGATCTCATATCCCATTCTTCCTCTGCATCTCCTCGTATGTTTGCTAATTTAAGGCTTCAATCTGAGAAGGGCTGAGCTGAGATCTGGTTGATTTTTTTTCAGTCTTCTTAGCGTATGCGCAACATGCCTCATGTGGCACGTGACCAGGATTCTTCACCGAATTTGGACCACTACCTTTTTCAGTTAAGAGAGCTTTTAGTTGAAAATGGCTTTTTACAAATATTTTTTCATGTAAAACTATCACTCTCGTTTGAAACATTTCTTGTTTTTTTTGTGAAAAATGCCATGCTATATTTTTTTCTAAAACTTATTAGAAACATGGTTAAAATAGTTAATGAAAACACTATTGAAATGGTTAATGACATTTATCATTTACCAAAACTATTTCAATAATATTTGTTTAAAAAAAAGTGTTTTAATTGTGAATATTTTCAAAAAATGAAAAAATGGATCCATTCCAAATCCTTAGAAATGAAAAAAAGTATGAAATATATTGCAAACAAAGACAAAGCCCTTATATTATAAGCTCTTCAGGACAGGGACAGGGTATTCTCACATATCAGTAAATCACTGTGCACTTCACAGTACTTTGCTATTTAAATGAGTAAGTAAATAATAGTTTTTAAAATGCTAAATGCATATGTTTCACTACTCTCCTCTCTTGAGGCGAGACAGATTTGCATGCCTCTACTAGCTCTAACTCCTTATTTAAAAAAATTATTATTTTGTTTTTGTTTTTAAAAATATCACATTTTATTGTACTGCAGAGAAGTCATGGCAACAACAAAGGGTTTATTCCAGATTTGAACTGGAGGATATACACTAGTACTGGAGCCTTCCACAAATGACATAAATACTGCTCTTTATCCTCCCCATCTCCCTAGGGAAGTTTAGTTGGACCAGCAGTGGAGTGGGTATGGTGAGCACTTGTGGAGCACATGCTGGAGCATTTCCCCTCCATGCACACTCCACATGCCTCGGAGTGCATGCAGGGAACGTGCCTTCGGGGGAGGGGAAAGTGTTCTCCTCCTCCCTCTGCTTCCCATTGGCTTGCTTAGGGTGTGTATGGGGTAGCTGATTGGCTCTCTTGGGCACCACCCACCTTCAGTACTTCAAATCCCCTGCTGGGGCAGACAGGGTAGAAGCTTTCATTCCTTGCAGCACCATGGAGGCCCATTTTTAGTTTATAGGAGTAAGAATAGGAATTTAGTATTAGAAAACAATATGGAAATGTCTAGTGGGTGCTGTCCAGTGCAGACAAAAGGCTGGAAGGGCCAACTTCTAGAGGAAAACAATACAAGACCCAGGATATGGCTGGTGTACCTACTAGCCTATAGGGAAGGAGACACCTTAAGTGTTCAGGGACTGAGGTATCCTTTGGAGGGATCATAATTCCTCCTCATGGTTGGGAATGGCAAGATCATTCAGACCTGGGCTGAGACTTAGGGTTAAGCTGAAGAAGATCAGCTGAGACGGATTGGTTATATGACATGAGGCCATTTAACCATGCACTGTATCCAATAAAATGCCTTGAATTTGAGGAGCCTGAAGAAGATTGATAGCCCCCTTTGGTTAAAGTTTATAAAGTTGCAGCCTGCTTCTTTAACTTCCATCCTTGTTTCATTCACTTGCGTGTCCTGATCAATACCAATAACCTAAAATATATGACAACTTTTTAATTTTAGATTTAGTAAACACTGGTCACAAGGGCAAATGAGTCCAGGGAAAGAGGGTTAGAAGCTTGTCTATTGTCCTACCACTATCTCTGTACAACTATAAAGAAACTAATTAAAAAAATCACTTAAATCTAAAATAATTTAGTTCTAACATTTCTTCACTTTTGCTATGAGCTGATAAACTGGTAAGTCAGCTACAGTTTAACAGTAAAAAGCCCCTAACCTCCTTAGATTCTTTCAAGCCTCAGTTATGATGGACTCAAATACTATCATACTCTATATGCTTGTAGGCACCCTTTAGTAGAGGAGCCTCTGAACTTAATTGGGAGTGTTCCAAAATCTTGAGCACTGCAATCCAGCCATGGAAACTACAACTCTCACGATGCCTTGGGTGGGGGGAGAGAGAGAGAGAGCACCAGTGCAGTGAACTCCATTTTGGAGAGGCGCTGAGATTGTTTCACTAGAGTTCTGTCGACAAATGCTACTAAACTGCTATTAGGAAGCCAGAAGCTGCTGCTGAGAGCATAATGGGGCTCTGATTAAACAGGGAGCCTCAGGGGTGGTTGGTGGCTACAGAGGACACAGGGTAGAGACAGTTGCTGTGCCTAGAGCTGACTGAGGTGGGGCTGTAGTGACGTCAGCATGAGTCACCACCGCCCTTGTTTGGGCAAGTGCTTGCAAGGGAAAGGGGGCAGAAAAGAGACTTTAAGGGGTTATCTGAGTCTGTGAAGAGGTGGATTGGTCTTCTCATCGAACCAGAACCCCCAAGATGCTGACATTTGGTTAAAACAACTCCAGTCTTCAGAGGGGGTGTGCAGCTTGGCATGATCCCAAATTAGAATTGTTCTGCCCCTTGTTGCCTTGGCTGGACTGATTCACCAGACCACCAGAGTGCTCTCTCCAGCTTCAAGATCTTCAAACGTGCCCATGCAAGGAAGTGTTTAGAATTCTGAAATCCAGAGGCGTGTACCCTCGGGGGGGTGGGGGGACAGAGAAGAGGTAGAAGCTGGCAGCGTAAATTCAAGTTAGAGAAGTTTCCTTTACTACTGTAAATTGTATAATGGGTGTATATTGTTTATAATTGGCATTCTTAAATTGGACCTATTGCACAGATTAGCTCAGGTTTATTCCTGGAGCCTCACAAGGCACACCACTGAGTGTGTACAGGGCCCAGCCAGATGGAGGCCCCACCTATTTTAATTCCCCTTACAAGTGAAATGACTGTAGCCGAGGGGTGGACAGAGGATTCCCACCTATCCAACATCTCCAGTGGGAAACTCAGGATCTCCTTTACGTCAACAACATCAGGTGCCTGGGCGCATAGGTGAGTGTTGCCTGCTCCCACGTAACCCAGGGAGGAAAGGGCAGTTACATTTGTTTGATATGCAACTAGATTAGTATTTTATGGACACAACTATGATGCAAACCTGATTACCTATCTCCATCCCTAAGCCGTTGAAACTGAGTGACAAAAAGGCACATTAGGGTTGGTCCCACTCTTGTACCAGGAATTAGGTCCTCCACCATCAGAGCTGGCCAAAAGTCGATGTTCAGTGGTGTGCCATACAGCCTAGAAAAAGAATCCAGGTAAAACTCATGTTACAAATATAGAACTAGACTGACCATTTGCTCTAGGCTCATTTTCTTTGGAATGTAGGTGTTTTTACAGAGGTAAGTTTATCATTCCAAATCTTCTTTGAATGAAAACACACACAATGCTTTCTAATCAAAAGAATTCTTATGATCTCACGTCCTCCAAAAATGGTTTTGATACTGTCACTGCTGTATTTTAGAAACAAATCTGAATGCTGAATATTAACCTGCTCACTAGGCAGCTTCTCAGATTTAAGATTTCAAAATGTGTCTGAGACACAGTGAAAAAAAATATTGGAATGAGGAGATCCAGGTCCGACCCAACACTGGCTTCCTCTTTGAATACCAAACACAATAAATACACATTTTTCAGCCACGTTATTTTAGTGAAAACGGCAGTTCTAGTGGATTTTGATATTTGTATTTTTCGGACTTCACTCAGGAAAGAATCACCATCAGCTACTACATCTAAGCAGTATTATACCTAACAAAATAAACTTTTAAAGCCAGCTTCTCACTTAGTATATATTGGTATAAGTCTCAATGGAGCTATGCAAATTTACACCACGTGAGCATCTGGCCCTTCATTTCTAAAGCCAAGGATGACTGGTATCTGAGTGATATTCAAACAATACAAATATCAAGATCCACTGGCAATACGCTGGGTAGTTAAGGAGACGCACATGAGGGTGTTTTACAAATCACCCCCTTCTGGCATGCTTTGCAATGACATGTAGACAAGTCAAAATTGCCATTATGAAATTAGGCCTTCACTGACATCGTACCTTTTGGACCATGAAATAGCTCAGATGAAGGTCTAGAAAACATCTCCGTCAGCCTTTTCAAGATCTAAATAGTAATTGAAAAAGCAACATTTAATGGCTATTTCAAGGTCCTGCAGAGCTGGAAATGGAAGCTCTGGATCACTCGGAAGGTAGCTCTCCACCAGCACAACGGGACCCAGATTTTGCTTTTAGTCTTAGGAAGGCTTGAGATTTCAATCTGTATAGTCATTAGGTACAGAAGATCATTGATTTCAACAAGACTACTGCTACTAAAATGTATCTTGTATATTCTTTTTATATTAAACTCTCATGATTTCTTGACCAAACATCCCAGAATTTTGTGTGTGTTAGCCAAAGGTGTTTAAAGAGGGCTTTCTTTTGGGTAAATGAATGTCTTTGTCCTAGTAGGCCTGTACTTTATTAGCCATTCTTTTTATGCTGAACTTTAGCTGACTCTAGTGTGTTTTCAATAAGCTGAATTTAGCTGGACTGAAGCGTATTATTAAAGAATGGATTGTGCGTCCTTTTTTTTTTTTTAAACTCAAAACTCTTGACCCGTAGGGAAATGATTGATTATCTTACTTACATAAAACTTCAGCTGAGTTAATTATTTGACATCATGACTATTAAATCTGAACATGCAACACTGCTTATGCCTGGGTGTTAAGTTGCAAACAACCATAAGTCTTCATAGGATCAAGGCCTATGCAATCAAGAAAATGGAAAAAGATACAAAGCAATAGCAGAATGGAAGGCAACCTTGGGAAAGGAAGGGAATAGACAATATAATGCACACCTTTATAGGGTAAATTCTACTTTGTATGTTTATTTAGTGGGGCTTCTGTGAAACCCAGTTCCTTCCTCTATCCACCAAAGCACTAAAATAGAAGCATAATGTGTAGCACCACAGGAGTTGCAAGGCAATTAACAAAAAGATATTGAGATTAGACTAACAATTTTGAGGTCTAAATATGTAAATCCTAGCCAAAATGTAGGGAAAATTAAACATCCACTGTGAATCAAAAGGCAATCAAGCACCAATGGTGATCATAATCAGAATACCAAATGCTGCTGTCACATTGCTTGCTGAAATATAACAATAAATGCACTTTACTTTAACAGTTCAAATGGAGTTGACATTTCCCTTATAAGGCCCCAGTGCTACCAAATTTTGAATTCCCAAGGCCTCTATGGGAATTCAAGCATTTGCCCAGAGGGCTCAGATTGCAGGAACAGGGCTTCATAATGGAAATATTTCATTTACTTCTAAATGGGTAAAATGGAACACATAGGGTGGGGGGGTGAGAAAACCTGGATTTGTGCTGGAAATGGCCCACCTTGATTATCATGCACATTGTAGGGAGAGTGGTCACTTTGGATAAGCTATTACCAGCAGGAGAGTGAGTTTGTGTGTGTGTGTTTTTTTGAAAAAAGGGGGTCGGGGGGGGTGAGAAAACCTGTATTTGTGCTGGAAATGGCCCACCTTGATTTTCATACACATTTTAAAGAGAGTGGTCACTTTGGATGGGCTATTACCAGCAGGAGAGTGAGTTTGTGTGTGGGGGGGGAAGGGGGGGGCGGAGGGTGAGAAAACCTGGATTTGTGCTGGAAATGGCCCAACTTGATGATCACTTTAGATAAGCTATTACCAGCAGGAGAGTGGGGTGGGAGGAGGAATTGTTTTATGATCTCTGTGTATATAATGTCTTCTGCAGTTTCCACAGTATGCATCCGATGAAGTGAGCTGTAGCTCACGAAAGCTCATGCTCAAATAAATTGGTTAGTCTCTAAGGTGCCACAAGTACTCCTTTTTTTTATACAGTTTACTAGTTAGGCTGCAAATTATTATTACTATTAAGAAAAAATGGTAGAAGTCTATGAAAATTAGAGCTGTTCAAAAAATACCATCCTCCTCCCCCCCCCAGAAAATGTAAATATTTTATTAGGTTTTTATCAAAATTCCCTATAAAAATTAAAATTGAAATATTGGTTTATGAAAACAGTTTTGGGTTCCTAAAACTAAAAACAATTACCAAAGAAGAAACAAAAATTACAGAAATTTTTTTGTGAATTTTTTTTAGTACAAAAGCCATCTTTTGACAGAAAAAAAGTTTCAGTGAAAACATTTCAAATGGCTTTAATTAAAATGATTTTACTTTTATAAATTCTGGAAACCTAATTTGCACCTTAATTATGACAAATAATAAACAATACACATTCAGTACCATTTCACATAGGGGAGGGCTTTGTTGGAGACATTTTATAAAAGCTGAGCCTCCCTGCAATGAGCTGTGCACAGATGCAGGGGTCTGCCTACATGGAGCTCATAGCAGAATTGGAATGTAAAAAAAACCCAGTATATTAATAAGGAGACTAATCACATTGTATCTAGATCAAGATTTAATACTTCGTCTGTAAAACTAGAAAGCCCATGCCTCCCTTATTCTTTAATTTCAACCTGACTGATTATTTTAATGAAATTGTCTCTCTGGTCCTACATACTGCTTTGATTTTTAATTTTGTGAAATCCTAGAAAGGATCTAGGAACACTGCAATTTAATGATTAATGTCATTCATTAACACAGATAATAAAAACTTGACCAAAGTAGTTGCCAGAAGATCAGGAATAGAAATTATACAGGAAATTTTCTACGTCCCGATCAAAATGGATATATTTCTAAAGTGTTACTAAAACATCAGACAATGTGGATTTCTAGTAATCAAATTTAGCAAAATAAAGGTATCAAATATCTGCTATTGCACTTGATGCAAAGAAGACCAGCAATAGGCCTATCTTGACTATTTATTATTTTTATTTGTATTATGGTAGCATCCACAGTGCGTTAGGCACTGTTCAAACACACAGCTACTTCCAGAGCTACCGAAGTAAATGGTAACCTTTCTAAAATGGATTTTAGATCAGGTCAATAAGGAGCCACCCAAAGAGCTCACAGGATGAAACACAGTGACAGATGAAGAGTGTGGGAGAGCGGTTATACGTATAATCACATTTCTTCATTATTTTTGTGAGTCCTTTCCTGCTTCGAAAGTACTTTTCTCTTTACAGTAAAGCAATGATGGAGACCTAACATTTAGGTCTTATTTATCCTAGCTCAGAAAGACACACACAGGCCACGTTCTCCGGTGCTTTTCAGACACTTTGTTCTGCACGCAAGGTGGAAAGGTGTTGCAACCTAGTTCACAAATTCCCAACAGAAAATTCATCTGGCACATGGGAACTCCCTGCTAGGCATAAATATTCCACAGGTAGGTCTACACCTGTGTTCACTCGCAGCACAGTGTGTGTGGCAGGGCAGGGCAGGGCAGAGCAGAGCATCACTAATCCTCCCTTGATGGAGGGTTCTAATTAAAGACCGTACATCAGTAGCAGAACTGAGAATATTCCAGTAGTGTCTTTACCAGTGGTGTAGGGGCCAGAGACAACCTTCAGAGTCAAAGATACAGTCCCCCCAGCTCCCGTCCTTCATCCCCCTCCTGCTCTGAGCAACGCTCTGATGCAGGACAGAACCCAGTCTGTTATCTAGACTTGATACGCTCATCACAGCTTCTTGACTACGTCCATTCAACTAAGTACACTCTAGGAATTATTTTGGGAAAGTTCTATGGCCAGTGTTATACAAGAGGTCAGACTATATGATTACTGTGGTCCCTTCTGGGCTATGAATCTATGAGTAAAAGTGTAGGATAGATATAGATTTATTTTGGGTGGTTATTTTCTAGAAAGTATATATAAAGTAATGGAATTACTTTTTGTTTTTAAATGGAACAATATGGTTTCTTGATTTATATGTTCACATTTATAGCAGGCTATTTTCTCAAATAAATCATTAGTAACCCCATAATAAATATCAAAGCCAATTTTCAGCTTTAGGGACTGATCACCTCCCATTAAAGTCCATGGAAAGAGTCCCATAGACTTTAGTTGTTTGTGGATCAAGTCCTAAGGGATAACGCTGTTAATCTGCAGTATTTTGTTATTGACAAGTGTTCCAACTAGCACTTCTCACAAATGTACTTCTGGGAACAACGTGCCTGACAGACATTCTTCTTTGTTCAGTGGCCTGAGGTTTATCTTGCATTTCCTATACATATATTATGCTATTTCTATTTGTAAAATTTTCTGTGTTATAGGTCTTGTTCTCACTTATGACTGTGAGCTAGTCTGAGTTTT